GAGGCCTGGACCACCAATGTTACTCCCTAATCCTGGCAAGGGTAATTGTTACTCATTAATATTTAATGTCTCTTATAGCTAGTCGACAAATTTTGGGTAAAATATGACACAAAGTTGTATTTTATAACGTATTTGTAATGATTTGTTTTAACATGTAGTTTTTAGTTAAATACTTTGGCAAAAAGTAGAGATTCTCAAATGCAATCATCAATCCACAGGAACCTATGTAACTCATGGTGACTTTCCGTTGTATAACAAATACTATGCTAGTTATCTCTTAAAGGGTATGTAGAAAATTTTGAAAGACTACTTTATAACTATAATTTTTATCATTAAAATTAATGGCAGAGTCACATATCAAACCAACTCTCCTAATTTTAATAATTATAAACTCTGGACAAAATATCAAAGGTACCAAAGAGTAACCAAAAGAAGGCAAAAACTGAAAGGGATATGAGCCTGGAAAATAAAAAAACTATATAAAACCTACATTTATACAGCTTTTTCCATGAAAATATTCCCAGTCCATGCAGCAGAAGAAGAAGAGAATGCGAACAGAAAATGGAAGTCTTACTGGCTGAGCAGTAAAAGGTGTCTGAACTGGCAGAGCAGCTGGAATTTGAGGATCCTAGAAAAGACAGCACCCCAGATGGAGAAGTACTAAAGTATGCATACAACTCCACTCAAATCCTTAAATGATTCCTGACTATGCATGAACAAGATGACATTTAGGAACCCAAGAGAAAGCAAGAGTTGGAAGGCTGAAACACCGAGCATGGTTCTGGAAAGTGGGAGGTTTGAATTCAAATCCTGCCAAATTAGAGGTGCTTAGGAAACACCCCAGGGTTTGGGAAACAACTCATGCTTCCACTGAACCCCCTTAAGGTGCTCATATCTTGGGAGTAAGGCCCATATCCCAGGACTAAGACTTAAACCATCAGACTAAGGGCAAAACAGACCTACTACCACAGCAAAGCCTAAAAGTAAGTCTTCCACAGGATCAAGGTGATATTCCAGTAATGTAGCTTGCTCACTAGAACAAAACTTAACACTCTTTAGTGAGAGATAAACTTTAAGATGCATCACCCACAATGCCCAGTAAATAATAAAAACTACCATAAATATGAAGTAAATAAAATTGTATCAGTAGTTAAGAGGAAGAGTTGATAGAAACACACCCAAAGATAAACCAGATGTTAAGAATTGGCAGACAAGTACTTTATTTATTTTTATTTTTTATCCTCACCCAAGAACATTTTTTTCATTGCTTTTAAAAGAGAGAGGAAGGGTGAGAGAGAGGAAAAGTGAGAAACATCTATTCGAGAGAGAAGCACCAATCAGCTGCTTCCTGCACATGCCAGCCTGGGGACTGGGCCAGCCCACGCCCAGACTGGGGATAGAACCTGCAACTCACATATATGCCCTGACCAGGAATCAAACCTGCAACCTTTTTGTTCAGTTACAGGATGATAGTTCCACTGAGCCACAACAGCCAGGGCAAGAATTGGCAGACAAGAAGTTTAAACTATTATGACAAACATGTTTTGACAATGCACACTTTGCAAGCTTTACAAATCATACGTCACCCACCCCCAGCATTCTAGTGAACCTGAGTTGCCCACGGTTTTTAATCAAAGTGGGATTTGGAATGGTTTGTATTTGAAAGTCTGAGACCAACAACTTGAAAGTGATTAATGACAGCTAAACTTAATTATATACTTACACCTCCCAGTAGGACAAGGGAGAGAATGAAATGTCTTACCTCTCTGTAGTGAGAGGGCTTTATTAAGATCTGACAACAACTATTTAGGAGCAGTAATTGAGCTTTATGCATGATTACACAGGCTCTCCTTGTCTGGCATCCCAATATAATCACAAACTGATTGACTACTTAGGCTCCTAGTAGTGAAAGAGGAAAAAAAAAGTTGAGCTGTGTACAAAACTAACCTTTACAAGTACTTATCCTCATCCGTCAATATGATCTTATCAAGGATTTCTATAATTTCTATAAACAACCATTATATTTTAGCTGAGTCAGTAGCATTATGCTAGCTTCTACTTTAAAACATTTTCCATTGATTTCCACTCCCCCTCAAAGGAATTTGGCTTTAACTTTCTTTTCTTAATCCACTAAGCAATCTCATGAGTAAAAAGTTAATCACATGCCCTACATGTCTGATGTAATTCTTATAAACCTGCTAAGTGTTCTAATATTCATTTACCATTTTGTGAAAATAATATTTACTGAGCAAGCTGGACTACCTACCTTCTTTCCCCAGGGAAAAAACCAAAGTTGATGAGGAATATATTGAAAGGCCTGCTAAGAAGATGTTATTTTTGCTTAAAATTTTCTTTAATACCTATGGAGATTGGCATGGAATGTAGGGATGGTTGACTTGGCCTCCCTGATGTTCTTGTGTTTCCTATGTCCACTTATGCTGACACCACCACACCTGAAGATATTGATATTACTTTTACTGAGATAGAAAAACACACTTTCCCCCCCCAAGTTTTGTTGTCCGTATTGGTCTCCCAAAAGGATGCTTCACCCATTTTTTTTCTTACTCTGTCTTTCTCGGGGAGTGTATTTCCCTCACAAGAGGGCTGGAGGACATCTGAGGGATCCACCCAGAATGATATCAATAAGCAACCCATTCCACCAACAATTAACAAGTACCCAGGGACAGACTTTAGGCTGCTCTATTTATGTCATTCACAAAGTGAGTTCCCTGTTCCTTAGCAGTGCTTCTTCCAGAAACCAGGGGCAACTTTGTCTCTCACCTTGGTTGGAGAGTTGAAGTCTAGCAGCCCACAAATCTGTTTGCTCCCAAAAGTGACCCTTCGTGCCCTTTCCTGGTAAGTGCTTAGAAATTAGTCTCCTCTAGAAACTCTCTCTCCCCATGTCAGACCACAAACATGTAGGCCAACTCTTAGAACCAATCTGAAATTCTCCCTATACAAGTCATCAAGGTGAATTATCTCCAGATAGTTTGGAAGTAAACTGAATTGCCTCTCTGTAGTACTACCTTCCTAGATGCTATGTGAGGCAAATAAAATTCTTAAGAGGAAAGGACCAGTTTCTTCTTATTTAAGACAAATAGATATTTCCAATGTAAATGATATCTACTGAGCACTTTTTGGTTCAAGAAACACATTGCTAAACACTAGCTACACACCAGGCATTATAACTATAAAAATATGCCTAAGACCTCACAACCTAGTAGGAGAAACAAATATATCAACAAATGATCATAATGTAATGGGTTAACTATCACAAGAGAGCTGAATCATCGAATAAAGCAAGTAACTAAGACACCAGATGCCAAAAAGGGACTAAACAAGATTTCAGTGGCCAATTTTAAGTTCCTTCCCTTGTTATTTCCAGCTGTGTTTCCATTCTTAAAAGGAGAATGAATCACATGTTTTGAGATGAGTTTTTTTCCCAGGTAGAAAAACTAAGTTAACAGTACATAATCATTTACTTAGTACATAATCAGTTACATAAAAAATTTCATTTCCAATGTTATCTTTATTCCAATGCAAACAACCTATTGTTAAGCCTGTCACCACAGATTAAAATATTTTCACTTCAGTGAAGAAAATTCTTTCTGACTTGGTAAAATTCTTGTTTATGACATTAAGGAGTCTAGATCCTGGTTAGAATACAGTTGATGGGAACAAATTTCATTATTATCTTTATGGTATTTGCTTAAATATCCAGAGGAAAAACAAAATGTGTTGGAGACACTCCCATAAAAGTATTAAAGAAGATAAAATAAAATTCATATTATCAAATCTTATTTTCCAGGATACAAACAGAATGAATACATGTTCCTATCAAAAATTTTCAACTGAGGAAGAAGAGGAAAAAAGGTCATATAAAACCTGGCAAAGCTATTTATGAGATTATCTCAGAGGCTTCCTTAAACAAACAAAAAATATGGCTAACTACATGGCTGGAAAAAAGAAAAGAAACACTCTGGAGAACTAGCCTACGCTCCCTAGTCCTGTTCTCATCCTCATTCTTTTAAACCCATATCATGTCATTCACACACAGCACCTGCTCCCCTCCCCATCCCTAGAGTATGTGTGCATCTTCCTCTAGCACAGTCTCCTTCAGAATTTCTACAATAGAAAAAAATGATTTCATAGGGCTATTAGGCAGAATTAAAAAGTTAATATCTGGTGAAAGGACTCTTGCTGGTGGCCCACGAGGAGGTGCCATGTGCTTTTGGATTAAGAACTGGAGATTGCGGTGACACATCTGATGGTGCCAGGGACAGTGGAAAACCTGCCCAGCAGAGCACGGATTACTGAAAGGAACCTGGAGAAGTGAGCTGTGGACTTCTGTTCTTTTCCTTCTGGAAGATGCCACTTCTGATTGGTATGTTCTGAGACTGGCCTGACTGGGCAAAGTGGGGGAAGGAAGGACTGTGTGTGTCTGTGAGTATTTTAAAGGGACTTTGAGATTTAATGGTGATGTTCCGCCATTACTCTAAACCTGTATATCTTTTGAATAAATGGTTCCTTTCCTTTTCACAAAAAAGTTAATATCTATTTATTATTCATATATATTAGGCAGAATTAAAAAGTTAGTATCTATTTTGTTTGACTTAAAAACCAGATTATACCAACATGTTGAGGAGTAATTCTAAGGATTTACCTTAAACTGAAAAATGTAAGAGAAGGCACTCAAGATATATATTATCTAGCCTAGTTAATTAAAACTAGCTAAAGTTATTTCAAAATACTCACTGGAAAGTCCTTTTCATAATGAAAAAGAAAACAATAAGGTGTGAGGAGTTTTTATTAGCTATTTATCTGACACCCACATCCTTCCCTCCTCATGCACACAAGAACTACACCAGGAAAGTTAAAGAACCTGTAACATTTCACAGTAGTATTAAAAATAGAATAGTAGAACTGAATCTTGCCCAGTACCCTACTTGGGTAAAATAAAATGGGAATATGAAGAAAAGAAAGCACAAAGAAAAACTTACTTGCAGTATCCTGTGCCATTGTGGTAGGTAACACATAGTCCTTCATTTACACAGGGCTCATAGCCATCCCGACACTGCAATGCTAAATATAAAAACAAATGTACATTAGAAATAATTCCCTAATCATAACCCTCAGACATCAAAGAAATGTTAGCCAATCTAAGTCAACGTTCATTCCTAGATCCAACCTGATCTGGGTTTCCTTTTAGAGTTTTTTTCCTTAAAAAAAGATTTTATTTATTTTATTTTTAAGTATATTTTATTGATTATACTATTACAGTTTTCCCAATATTTTCTCCCCTTTATCTCCACTGCCCTGCACCCCCCAGCTCTCAGGCTTCCACCCTTTAGTTCATATCCATGGGTTGTATATGTATTTACATACAATCCTTTTAGAGTTTTAATTAGTTGTTTTTTTTTTTTTTGGCTTCTGGGGTCACAGAAGCATGGAAGCTCATCCCAATTATCTCCTCCCACATAACTGTTTTGTGATCTTGAATGATGCTATTAATTCTCTGTGCCTTGATCTCCCCAGCTATTACATCTCTATCTCCCAATGATAATAGGGAAATCCAAGCTCTAACACTCATGAAATGCCATGAGCATCAACGCATATTAAGGAAGACCTGGGTAGATATTAGATCACCATGATATTAATTAATTAATTAAGGCTTCGGGTGAGGTTTCAGAAAAGGCCACTTAAAGAAGTAATCAAGAACATCAACAATATTCATTCAACAAACGGTAGCTGAGAGCCTAGTCATATGTACCAGGCATTATACTAGGATCCAGAGGAAAAATGGAACACATAGAGAAATAATTAAAATATAATCTCTAACTTTAAAGGGAAGAGACCATGAATTATAGACAAGGGGGGTCAAAGTAAAGAAAATGAAAAAGTTCATTTGTACATACAGATAAAATAATTCTCAAATTCTTGAACCCCATTTCCTTTATGAGGCAATGAAGAGGCACTTCACCACCCTAATCCCTCCCCAAAACAGACTACTCAGAAATAAACAGCAATAGTAGAAAGTTTCATTGATTTAAGCCAAAAGAGGAAAAAAGCTATCCAAAGTCTGTCACTCACTTGCTATATAATTACAATACCTTGATTGTTTAGCTCTTAGAGTTAGAATTTTTCATCACCAAAATGATTGTAACTCTAATAACAACTGAAAAGTCAAGACAGAAAGAAACCTAGTCAAATAAAAAATCAGAAATGAAGTTCATGAACATTTTCTAGAAGATTACTAAAATTTCCATTTCCTAGGATGGTTCACATATAAAAATACCTGAAAGCAAATTGAGATGTCTTTACTTTGAGTCTCCTCTAGCCACACCACTCTTTAAATAAACTGCAATATAAAAGGGCTCTAGGCCTGCCCCTCCTGGGCATCAAAACCAGCTTCTTTCCACAGCAGGACCCAGGCACAAGCTGGATGTTACCCAAAAAATCCTCCATTAACAATTACTACATAAGAGCCGTGCATTTGCTCAGTACTGTTATCAAGTGATGGAACTATTTGAGAACATGATTACAGAAATTTCACCTCTAAAATAGTAACACTAAAAAACAGTAATAACAACAGCAGCTAACACATAGCACTAACTAAATAACAGGTACTGTCCTCAACTAATTCGATCTTCCCAACAACACTATTATGATAGTATAAGGACTTGGACCCTGAAATAGAAAATAGCAGAAGACTAGGAAGCTGAGCTGACACCAGGTGGCTAGAAGGAACCCAAGGATGTCACCACCCCTCTACTCCCTACTCAAAAACACAGAGGTCGCTGATTTTATCTCCTTTCTAACTGTCCTACTTACACTACTGACCCACATGCGCAGTTGATCAAGGTTTGACCACTACATGACCTTCCTGGGGTAGCAGTAATGAGCAACACCACCATGTTGCCCACATAGTTCAGGTGTGGAGACAGTTGCCAAGCAACCCAACAGGGGCAGAAAGTCACCCTGCCCTGACATGAAAAATTCCACTCTCCGAAACCTTCACATGCCTGCCTTTTTGCACGAGCCCGCCTTTTTGCACAAGCCTACTTTGTCTCCAGCTCACAAATGCAGTCAACCCCTGTGCCAGTTTAGAGGATTTACTTTCCTCTGTGCTGCCACTGTGCCTGAGCATAAGCTTAATAAAACCTGTCTCTAAGGTTTCCTCTCAATTTCTAACTTGCAGAACCCAAGAACTCTAATGCTAGTAAAATTTTGTGGCAAATCTGGTGTAACCTCTTGTGTCTCTACAGCAGCAGGACAGAGTGGGGAGAAGAGTCATGAATCAGGATTGACAACTGGTCAAACCTTCGACCTTTGGTTCAGCATCACTGCAATTTGTGAGTCTGTCTCTGATACTCCCAGCCCTCTCCTCTTGCCCAGACATATTTTGTTTCCTGACCAGTTTGTCTTTTCCTCTCATGTGATTGTTTTATCTCGTCCTTGAGTCCCTGGAAGTGGGTGTGAGTCCTGTGCAGTTCCTGAGGTTGGGTTTGAGTTGCACTACAGTTATATTGATGAGCAGATTGCTACCCTCTGTCCTGCTCTGAGTGTCTCAGGTTTGAGTTCCAAGGTTGGGTTCATGTTCCAAGATTGGGTTCTAGCTCCACCATAGAAGTTATGCCAGTGGGTAGATGAATTGCATCCTTCCTTTGCACCCTCAGTGGCTCAGATCTGAGTCAGTCCCAGGGTTGCATTCCAGTCCCATCCACTGCAGAAGTTCCGTTCTGTTTCTGTTTTTTTATGTCTGTTTCCACTTGATGAGACTGACTTACTGACAATCCTGACTATTTGTTGGACTACTCTCTTCAACACTAAACAAATAAAATAAAAATTAGTTTTCTTTTCCAATGTAGCCTATCCCCAATATTCTCTTGGAGATCAAAAAACAATGGCGACCATGAAGGGACAGCCTTGAGTGGCCTTTCCACCTGTGGTTCATTGATCCCTGGCCAGTGACAGTCTCTCTAGGTTCTGTCTGAGCAGCTGCCTTGACTAATTGTTCCAGGGACAGAACTGCAGTGCTCACCACTGACCAGATGTAACTGACCAACAGTACTTTCATTTTACAGTGAGAAAATTAGGTAGTTGATTACTGGAACTGTATCTGTTACTTGTCAAATCTGTGTCTCAACCTAGCCATGGAACCTTGTTTTTAACTGGAATTGGTTTTGGATTTGGTCTAGAGCTGGCAAATTAAATCTGAAAGTACTGTATGTTTGGGGCAGGGGAGGCAGAGAATGTATGAATGTGTGTTAGTAAGATATGTTGCTTGCTGATGTTGTTTTAAATGACTTGACTTTCTTGGTGACACAGTAAACTCCTTTGTGAGAGCCTTCACACCCTGTAGAGAGGCACTGCTCTCTCTCTCCGGCCCCTGGAGCCATTCCCAGGGGACTGAGGTGTTGACACACTCTTCCTGCACTTTCATGGTACCTGGTAAAGCAGCTGGCAAAGGTAGCCCGTCCAGGGCTCACTCATCAGAACTTTTTCAGTGTTGGAGAAGAATCCATATGGCAAACGTTCAGAGTTTAACCCACACCTTCCTTGGTTCTAATGGTTAAGATTTGGTGCTCTTAACATTGAACCCCCGGTTTAGTCAGAGTTTATCCCATGACTTGTTTGCTATGACCACCCAGAAAGGTTTTACAGTTTTCCCCTACTGAAAGGATCAAGCACACAGGGGCCTTTTCTTTCCCTCCCCCATCCTTTTCATCTCCAGACACTTGGCAGCCAGCATCCTGTGCTCAGGTTCCCTACCACAGCCATCTTCCTCTAGGAAATCTGTAAATTCAGACATTCTGAAGCTGTTCTTTTACCTTCTGAGCTTTCTATTTTCTGTTATTTGTGTTTGTTGACAAATCCACCTCTCCTTGAAGGAGAGGTCCTAAGCCTCTCAGAGACAATAGAATGCATTCTGTGATTGGTTATAATTTTTAAACGGCTTTAAAGAAATTCTTACAGCATGCAAAAGCTTTGGACATCTGAGCAAAATCTTAAATTAGTAACAGACTAATGTAAATACTTTTCAGAATCACATGATTTGGGTTTGGTTTGGCTATGTAGACATATCTTTAAAATCATCAGCATTAAATAATACTTTTTTTCTACCTGGATTTATTAATGAAATAAATCCATGTTATTTCTGTTGCAAAATTGTCAGCAAGGAAAATAACTTGGTGTAATAAAATTTTCATAAGTAATCTAAACTCAGGAGTAAGTAAGATAAATGTAAAATGGGGTAAAAAGTTTCTTTTAGCTTCCAGCCAAGATGGAGGCGTAGGTGGAAACACTATGCCTCCTTGCACAACCAAGTTTAAAGACAACAAAGTCTTAGCAACAAAAACACAACCAAAACAGAAAATCGAACTGTACGGAAGTCTGACAACAACAAACCATTCAGCCAGACAGGTAAGAGGGGTGGAGTCAGCAGCTGGCCCAGCGGGGTCGGGCAGGAAAAAGCAGCCAGACCAACCCAGTCACACAGGCAGCGGTTGGCAGATCCCAGGTGTGGGGTGGCAATAGGCAGACCCAATGAGGGCACAAGGCGGCTGGCTGGCTGCAGTCACACATTCATGCAGATAAATCAGGTGAAGGAGCGAGCAGTGAGACAGACCAAGCAACCCAGGGCCCCAGCAACCAGAATTAAAGCCTAAAAGCACCAACTGAAAAAACTTTCGGGGTCGAGGTGCCAGGAGACGCTCCCAGGCTCACAGAGAGTTTGTTGGAGAGACCCACAGGGTCCTGGAGGGTGCACGAGCCCACCCACCCAGGAGCCAGCACCAGGGGGGCCTGGTTTGCTTGCAGGAAGCAGCAAAGGGGACCAAAATCCAAGAGAGAGCAGAACAAGCGCCACTGCCCCTCTCTGACCCCGCCGCCACATACAGCTTCACAACCCAGCAACCTGGGTTGCCCCACCCTAGTGAACACCTAACGCTCCACCCCTCATACATAACAGGCACCAACAGACCAAAACATTATGGCTCAAAAACAGCTCAAAGCCCCAGAGCCAATACTTCTGAGCAACCAGGAGATAGCCAACCTATCAGATGCACAGTTCAAAACACTGG